GCATCTTCACAGTGTACACAGTATATAAAAAGACTATTCCATAACATTTCTCCCTTTTGTCTAATTAAAAAGGAAGGTTTTTTAACTTTAACATAGCAAAACTATATACAGCAAAAACAGTTATCAAGTAAGAATTACATTTACAATTAGCCAGTCCATCTCTATTTGGCAAATTTAGAGAAAATACCTTATTATCTATCTTATCATTGTGAGTCTGAAGTTTTATACCTAACTTTTTATTATAACTAAGGAAAACTGTAAGTTTAACTATTTAGTCTTTAACTCCATCAAAGACTCCAGAGAGATGTAATATTACCTAATGACAGGGACATTCCTGTGTGTTTTCCATCTTTATGTGGCTTTTCCCCTTTCTATTACTTTACTCCTTTTTGAAAGAACTTATTTTAGGTGGGAACTGGTGGTGCATGCCTTTAATCCCAGCACTTGAGAGGCAAAGGCAAGTGGATCTCTGTGAGTTCGAGGCCAGCCTGGTATACAGAGATAGTTTCAGGACAGGCTGCAAAGCAATATAGAGAAACCCTGCCTCGAAAAACCAAAACCAACCAAACAAACAAAAAACCCAAAACCAAAAACTTATTTTATTATTTTTAAACTCTTTTCTATGACAGTCTATAACTTTTCTCCTTCCCTTCTCAAGCCTATGTACACTAAAGCATTGCAACTTGTTTAGAGGTTTTTATCAAAGTGGATCTGTCTTTATTGAGCATCTGTAGTATTTTCTGATCACACGAGACAAAGCTTAAACGTGTATGCCATTGTGGCTCAGCTTAGTGCATTATGTCAACACATGGTGGCCGGTGGCTGGACCCATCCTGTAGTCAGCTGGTGGAAGATGCATCTCTGTATTATGACTGACATGAGACTGTGAGGCCAGAAAGCTATGTTAGGGTCTGTTTTGTATGTCAGGAAGCTTTTCTTAAGCTTTTTTGTAGGTTTTATGTGGCTATACATGGCCAGATGTCAGGCACCATTTATAGATATGGATTTTTGTCAGTACTGTGGGCACCCAAACAATCATACAGAAACTTAGTCCTAATTGTGAATACTTGTCTGATAGCTTAAACTTGTGATTAATTATCTCTCACATCTTAAATTAACCCGTATTTTTCATCTATGATCTAGCATATGGTGGTAACTTTTTTCAGTACAGCATGTTCGTCTTGCTTCACTCTGCAATGTCCTGGTGACTTTGTCATTCTTCATCCACAAGTCCAGCCTAACTTCTTCCTGCCTAGCTATTGGCCATTAGCTCTTTATTAAACCAATGAGAGCAACATATATATCTTCACAGTGTACAAAAAGACTATTCCATAACAAACCTCTGCATATCAGCTATGCAGAATAACTCTTTACCTGACCTTTTTGGAGAATGCTGGTTGTGCATTCCTCCTGGGTCAAACTCATTTGTGGCCTCACTCATTGCCTTTTTGTATTTTGAGACAGGGTATCTCTGTGTAACAGTTTTGGCTGTCCTGGAACTAACTTTGTAGACCAGGCTGGCCTGGAACTCACTGAGATTCACCGGCCTCTACCTCCCATGTGCTGAGATTAAAAGTGTCCATCCCTGTTCAACTTTCCCAATGTCTTATTAGACTCTCACCTTGTCTCTTATTAATTGCTCTAAGCCAAATATCACTATCACCCCGTATCTCTCCCATCTCTTTCTCTCTTTGGTATCACAGACTGCTTTAACTCCTCAGGAACACTCATTGTGTTCCTGGATTCTTCATAAAAACACTTTAACCCCTACTAATACCCCACAGCCTCTATGCTCAAACATTCACAACATCTTCATTCTCTGCAGCACTCAAGTTTATTGCTGCCTATCTGCTGCTGTATGGTCTGGGATTTGTGCCACGGTGTTCCTTTTTCCAAAACAGTGATACCCAGTGAAGAACCCTTGCCAATTTTCATCACAGGGTTTATAGTCATGGCATGACAAAGGAGTGGTTCACATCATGCCCTCTCTGAATCCTTAGTATGAGCACTGGTGTTGATACTGGATCAACAGGGCTGCCTGCTTCCTTAGCTATTTACTATGGGTTTTCCCCTCAGTTCATTCAGGCTCTCTAAGGGGTGGCTCAGGCCATCCTTACCCTCCTGGGCCAAACAGACGTGCTGGCTACTGTAGTGCTACAGAATCAGTGAAGATTAGATTTACTAACAGCAGACAGAGGTGGTCTGTGTCTCTTTCTCAGGGAAGAATGTTGCTTCTATGTCAACCAGTCAGGTATGAAAAGACAAGATCTGACAACTGTAGACGAAAAACCAGAAATGTAAGAAACAGCTAAATGTCTCTGGCCATTAGCTCATTGACAGTCCATATGGAATTGGATACTACCCTTCTAAACCCCCTTTCTCCTGCTTTACTTAATCCTACTAGTCTTACCCTGCCTTATAAACTTCTTGTCTAGATTTCAACAACAGATTTAAAAGATTCTTAACCAGACTTTTAATCAGTTGCTATTACAGTATTACTGGCCCCTAGCTAAAGAGCCAGAGTCCAGACACTCCCTGATTATACCCTGACAGTGAAGATCAAGATTGCTCAAAGTACTTCTATGCCCCAATTCAACAGCAAGTAGTCTAATGATAATACCACCCCTTTCCTTTAACCTGATTGTTTACCAATAATAAACAAAAAAGAGGGGAGCGTAAGCCCCTTGATCTACATGCCCCTTCCCTGAGGATTTACAAGTGCCAGGTTTCCCCACAGAACACTAACTGTCCTAATGGTTGGACCCTGCCCTGCCCTACAGAGTAAAAAGCCCAAGCTGTGGATATGAAATCCCACCAATCCCTACCCTGGAAAGCTTCAGCCTGAATAGTTCTACACCCCCTCCCCAAGAAACTCTATATAAACCCTGCCTTCTGTTCAACCCCTCACCACGGAAGAGGCAGCCAACCCCCCCCCCCCCGGCCTTTTCTCTCCCAATAAATCGCATGTGAGGTTTGTTGTTTGGTGTGACTTTGTGGTATTTCTTGACTCCTGACTGCCAGGATACCTTTCCATTTGAGCTGTGATCACTAAACTGACACCAACTGTATCTTATATGAATTCAAAGGACAGTTCAAGTATTGACTACAAAAAGTTTCACTTTCCTAATCACATCTCTCTTGCTTCTTAGCTTTCTTCAAAGTACTCACTATACTCAACTATATTATTAGTAGGCAATTTCCCCAAGGTTTTAGCCTTTTCTAGAATGTTCTTAGTCATCTTTTAAGACTTTTGCAACTTTTAACTGTCTTCCTGGACCCTCAAAGGTAGTAAGGGTTAGCAGCAGGTAAGTAAACAGTGGATTTCTCTCACCCGTTCTTGGTTTCTCCAGCAGCTGAGCAGACTAGCTATTACTTCAGAAGCTTGTGAAACATAAACATAAAACCAGCCCCCAGTGATTACTACAAGTATTCCAAAATACGTCATCTAAACTTTTATGTCAACCTTTGCATGCCCAATGCACTCAGAATGATAAACTGGATACACTTGCTGTCAGGGGGCCTAGGGGATAGATGAATACCTCACAGCAGAACCACACTGAATAGAGAGACTACTAAATCAGAAACCATTTTCTGAATGACCAACACATGTAAGACTGACATAATATTGAATGTGGATTTGAAAAGGACAATGTCAACTTCCAGCAATCAGTATTGGTCTGTGCTTGAAGAGACTTGTCTGTTCCAAGTGTTGGTCATCATATGACTTTTCCATAAGTTTACTAAGGGACTGGGCAGTCAGTACTCTAAACAGAATTTCAAGAAAATTCAGAAAAAATATTCACTATATTAGCCCTAAAAATTAGAAAAACTATAAACAGCCTATCTACCTAGCATGTAATATGACACTTCTACAATGTCTGTCAGATCCACAAAGTTTATTTTTAAAAATGTTAAAAACTAACCATACAGGGTTATTCCATATCCTTAAAAAGTTTGTTTCCCACGTCAAAGGAAAATACATTTGCAACATCTTGCATCTTTATAAAAGTAGAACTTGTGGATGCTGAGCTGCACTACAGTAGAGCCTATGGTTTGCATTAACCTACTCCTGCTCCCTACACCTAATGTTGCAGACACTGTTCAGGATGACTCAGGCCTGTGGCGCACACTGTGCTTACTGACAGAGTGAGTCTTTTCTATTGCTGCCACACGTTTATTTCAGATGAGTGTTTGAGTAGAAATACATCCCATGATTGTAAACATTCACCAAGAGCTTCCAGGGTACAAGGAATAACAGTGGTGGCCGGGGAATCACTTGTGGGCGTATGCTGAGATCATGAAGAATGCTTTGCACAATTATCCTAAGCCTCCCTTACTTATGCATCTGTAAGAAGGTAGTTCTGGGTAGACATTTTTGGTTGAAAACACCTGAATGTCATTCTAAAGACTACAATCAGCACCATTTTTACTTTCGTGGAATATAGTGAGTTAAATTCAGCAGTAGGTATGACTAATAACAAATTAAAAATAGTCTCAAGTCCCCCTTTGAATACACACGGAGTACTTCATTCCAGCTGATGCTAACTGGAGCCACGTGTGCATCTGTAGAATAGTAACTCCCCCAGGGCCACATGCAACCCGTAAGTCTATCACTTCTGTCCATGGAGGCAATACAAGCAGATTTAAGGCTGTATTCGGCTATGAAGAGTTCTGTCTCCTCTTTCATAGTCTATGTAGATCACACACATAATTCAAAACTGTAGGGTAGGAGGTGAAAGGTCCCCACATACTTTAAAATACTATTCTTCATACAATTCATTGCTAGTATTTTGACATATATAGGAGTGGGGGCACGGATACTTGTAACCACTTTAAAAATGCAACCCGAACTTCTAAACTCTGTCCCAGCATCCCTAAGAGTACGAGCTTTCAGACAACTGAACAATTTCATATCTGTCAGACTGTTCATTACAGTTCTTGGGCAAATGTCATGTTGTTCCCAAGAAGAATAAACATGTTTAAAATTCATTGCCATCCACCTTGGGATAGACCTGGTTGCAAAGAGAATGGTGTTCCAGGCGTGGAAGGATAGCTAGGGAAGCCATCTGGCTGGGCTGGGTAACTCTCCAAAGCAGATGCCGAATGGACCTGCAGGAAGAGGCACACAGTTAGCACACGGGCTCCAATCCACATACAACCAGACAACACATCATGGGAAGACAAACTTTTAAAATATGTCAGGAGGTGGGTTTTTGATGCTGTTGTTTTGTAGAGATGAATTGCCTTACTGTTCATTATAGTTTAAGATAAATTAAATTGTAATGGTCCTGACTTTAGTTTTAATTTTAAATCTCCAAACTGAGATTTAAAAAAAATTCTATAAATGGGGGGGGTAGGAGAAACAAAACAAGCAATTCATGCATTTGACTCCTAGCATCTTTGTTACTTCTGAAAGGAGGTAAGTAGAACTTGTGAATTTGAGGAAAGCTAATCGATAATCAAACCAAACTCTGTCTGGTAAGTCCCATTCCTGTCCACATTGGGCTGTCAAAACGATTCACCCCTTACCATCTTACTCCAGACACTGCATACCTGCTGTAATAAAGCCGACTGCGCAGCTGCGCTGTGCTGTAACTCTTGCAGAGACGACTGGGGAGGAGTCTGGGAAAACCCAGGGATACCTGGGAGGGAAAGAAGGCCTGGGAAAACAGAGCTACCGGCAGCCTGGAGTCCAGATGACAAACTGAAAATAATCAGCAGAAAAACAGGTCAAGCTGCAGACAGGGCAGAACAGAAAGGGAAAAGCTGCTTCCGTATTTGGTAAAGGGCAGCTTAAAGATGGCAAAAACAAATCAGCTCCCTCCTCTGTGGGACAGAATTGCGGAAGTGAGCCACTCAGTGTAGTAAAACTTACTCAGAGTGGATAACACTTTCAGCAACCCAAGTTATCACTCCACAGAACATGGAGGAGTCAAGGAATATTCTGGGCACTGGACTTGTATCCTCCCACCCATCTGGCCTAGCACATATATAAACGTCAATATCAATCAAGACGGCTACAGAAACTTGCTGAGTGTGTTGGCAGCCCAGTCACATACCCTGCTTGTGCCACCAGGGCGGAGTTGAAGTTGGAACTGAAGGCCGAGGCAAACCCAGGGAGAACAGGCGCAGGTGATGGGGCCGAGGCAGCCACCGGCAGTGGGGTGACTGCTACTGTGGATGGCGCCTGCAGCCCTGGGAATGAGGCCAGTGCCGGGGCACCACTTGGGGCACTGGAGACAGGGAAGCCGGGGTAGGAAGGGTTAGAGGCGGGCAGAGGGCCCTGGGTGACTGCGAAGAGGGAGGGCACGGCAGTGGACAGGTTGAGTGGGAAGGCTGCAGGCGAGGCATTGGAGGTGGGCAGCACTGGGCGCACCGGCGCGGAGCCGGGGTGTGCAGTTGCAGATGTGGTGGTAGAGGGCCCTGAGAGCGACACAGCAGGATTGAGGGAGGGACTACCCGGAATAGGGAAACTGTTGGTCAACGAAGTGAAAGGAGGAAGGGCTGTGAACACAGGAGCAATGGGCGTGGAGGACGCATGTGGTGGGAGGGACATAGAACCAGCCAGGGGATTGCTCAGGCTGGAAAGCCCGGACAGTGCAGGGTTAAGGCAAGTGGACACACTGATGGGCACTGAGGTTGTAGGGTATCCACGGCCCAGAGCACCTGATAGGCCCAAGGTACCGCGAGCAGGAGTGCCTGGATGAGCTGGGCCTTTGAAGGCCGAAGGAGGGGGGCTCGTGGGCTCACTTTTGATCATAACGGGCACAGTTGCTGTGGCAGGGGCGGATGAAATGCTACCTGCATGGGTACCATGCAAAAGCGAACCTGAGGAGCCACAGCTGACTGGCATTGCTGTGGAGGAGGGGGTAGCCAGCGGAGACTGCGCAGGCAGCACTGGGGCTGAGGAGGTGGCGCTGGCCACAGGGGACTGCAGGCCTGGGAACATGGCCATCCCTGGGGTAGAAGACCTCTGTGAGGCAGCAAGAGCAGCAGGGGCATAGCACTTGTTAGTGGCTGAAGCAGGGGAATCCGAGTTTTGATTGGGAAGTGAGGATAATGAAGCCAGCCCAGTTGTGACCGCAGATGACAAGGCAGATGAGTTGATTAAGTGTGTGTCGCTAGTCGTGAGAAAGCCCTTTAAGGCAGACAGAAGAGGGCTGTTTACACCATGAGGACCCCCGGCACTAGCGATTACAGAAGGAGCTGGGGTGGCTATGCCGTGGGATGCTGGTGGGAAGGGCAGAGGCAGGCCAGTAAAGACCGATGACAGGGAAGCCGTGCTTGGGTTACTGGCTGACCCGGTGGTGGAGCTGGCTGAGGAGTGGCTGGTGAACGGGGCACACGTGGAAGTAAAGGTCTCACTGGAAGTCAGCGTGGCCCTTGCTGTCGAGCTGGCCTGAGGAGATGGGGTGGGGGTGGCAGAGGGACCTGGCAGTGGCACTAGGCCAGAAAAAATGGAAGGGACGGGAGCAGGTGTGGTGCTGTGGGCGGAAGTAACAGGTGTCACGGGCACCGAGGGAGTCCGGATCACAGTCGGGTTCGCTGTAGATGGCTGAGGCGTTGTGAAAACCGATAGGGCAGTGTTGGGAGCATTCATTCCCGCCCCAGTGGCAGCTGCTGACGCGGATGGATGGTTTGCTGCCTTGACTGGGGACACAGCGGGGACAGGAGTCGCAGCAGGAGTTGAAGGATTAGAACCATGAGGGGAGAAGAGTTGGCCTGCTGGGGTGGAAAACGCTGGGGAGAGAAGAGGCAGGGTTTATGCTGTATGTTGGAATGTCCTACTTAAAAAGAAACATAACCATGTCTTGTTATTGTTGTCATAGTTCACAAATACCAAAGAAAACCAATGGCAGGTATTAAGCGGCTCTTTACATGTCTGGGCTGCTGGGTGTCATTATCCTATCTTCATTTTGGAGCATCTGTGCGCAGGATGATAGCTATGCGCTGCTTGTGCCTGCCCATCATTGAGGAAACCATTCTTTTGCTACTTTTCTGCTTTATAAAAGTTGGGAGCTCTTGTGAGTAGGTAGTGCTGAGGCGTTGGCTTCACCCTGGGCTCCTCACTTGCAGACACCCCCTTCCTTAGAGATCTGAACACATGCATGGCCTCCACCTCAGGACCTGCGGGGCCCACATCCTGCATTTACGCACACTGACCAGTCTACTCCAGCCCCTAAACCTCACTTACCCTGTCCTGGGGATTCATTTAAGTGTAACACTATGTTTAATTCCCCCTCTACTTCAGGGCTCAGTGTTTTAGTAAGTTTGTATCAGTGATCCTTACAGGACAGCTCCCAAACCACCCAAGAACTTGTTCTCAATATTATTTTGCGTTTGTTACGCCATCTTTATTCTGACCAACCCTATGGATAATTATTAAAAGGATTTGGGTTCCTCCTCCCAGGATGAGTTCAATGCTGTGTCCGAGGCAGCATAGACTGCTCCTCCCTCTGCATCCATAACTACTGAAAGGCGTTTTCAGGGAGTAAGACAGACACTTAAGGAGTAATTGGGCTTCTCAACCCTTGGCATTTTTTTCAGAAAAGAAATGTGATAAGAAAATTAACAAACAATAGTATAAGAAGTGCAAATTCAGAGCTACTCCATATTCACATTATTCATTCAGGTGTATTTTTTCCCCTGCTCTAGGAGATTACACTTAAATCCTTGCACACGCTAAGTATACACACTATCGGATCCACATTGTAAGCAGTGACATAATTTCATGAAAATAGACTCATTCAGAGTCACCACGAAAACAGGTCTGTACTGTACTTGTGCATGTATTCTGCAAGAACCAGGATCATCAGGAATGAAACACAAGCCTGAGTTTATAAATAACGTACCACAGATACATTGCTCCAGTGGCCGGGAAGCACATGACAATTCAGTCTGACTCATGAATATGCTGAGGACCATGAACTTATAACAAAGCTCAAAGACAAGGCAAGAAGGTCCTCCCTAGGGTTCTCAGAGCCATTCCCACTGGGAATTTCTTCAACTACAAAGCAAAGGCTCCCTGCCACTAGCAGTCTCTGCAATAAGCTATGAAGCAAACAAAAGCATCCCCAATCACATAACACATCATACGTTCCTGTCATCTAATGTACTACTCAACATCACACACTATCCGCCACACCCCATGGGTCACTTATGTCCACCACTCCATCTGTCCTCACATTAATCCTGACACCAACACTCCCATTTTATACATAGGTAAGCTGAGGCTTGGTGTAGCAAAGCCAGATGTTTAAAGATCATACAATTAAGCGGCTTGATTATAGAGAGCATACATAAGGTCCTCCAGCACAGCAAACAAACAAAAACAAAAAACCCCACAACAAATAATATCATGTGATTGGGACCATGGCTAACCACCACAGAGGTAGTCTTCATTACTGTTTAGTAGTTTTTTTTTTTAAAAAGGGGAGATTTTTTAAAATTATAAAACTAAATGTAAAGGCTTTAAAATTATTTCCATAAAGTCAAGTGACTTATTTATAAAGGCAGGTGGCTCCACAGTGACAGTAGGAAACACTGATGTCTGTCCTGTTCATTCTGCACTCCCTCCTTTACATAGGAACTGCCACATCTTCTGGGCGCCTTCACAGGGAGGGGCACCTTCCCACCAAGACTCCCTATCTTGGCACAGTCATCAGGGTTAAGAGCTCCTGTTGCCCATCCATGACTGGAGAATGAAGTTAGGGGTTGCCACCAGGTGGCGCCACCAAGGCCATTTGTGCTCAGGGCCCTTTGCTCCTTACCACTTTCTACATTAGGATTTACTAGACTTACTGTCTGTCAGAAAGCGTTATCTTCATGTGCATATGAAAATCACCTTTCCCATATCAGAACACTAAGTGAAGACAGATGTACATGCCAAACAGGACACAAAGTTATAAAATTAATTTGAATCCAGATATGTAGATTTCTTGAACATAAAATCTATCATATCAAGGCACTCTTAGCAGGTATGTGTTACTGTACACCTAGGAGCCGCTCTCTCCAGAGATACTCCACAGATGCTAAACTCAAGTTCCCCGTGAGAAAAGGCCAATAATGACAATCATGACAGGTGGCAGTTACCTTTGGGTCCCTTAGGTACTTACTTTGACTCTGTGTAGGTTTTGACTGACTGGAGAGGTCTTCATTGTCTATGTAAAAATAAATGATTCCAAGCTTTAGTCAGGCTATTCCCCATCATAATCACAGACAGATATCAAAAAAGAAAAATCAAGACATAAATAAATAGACATCATTGAAAGCACTGAAGGAAAAACAGAGGACACTCACAAAAGAATCATAACTGCATGAATAAAACAGGTTGTTATGATACAGACACATTTCTATATGAATATACAAGCACTAAGTGACTTTTTAAGCAGCCCACAACAGCAGGTCTTTACCTGTTCCTACTGGGTTCGGAGTGTATGGAGGTGGAGGAGGGACGCCTGGAGCTATCACACTGGCTAAAGGTACCAGACCCGCATTGTTATAAGCACCTAAAATAAAAACACAACAGAAAGAGAAAACTTTGGGGTTCAAATCTGTGTGAATGCAGTTACGTGGCTTATTTTAAACTGCCATTTCATAGAGATGCATCTCACAAGGAGAGTTTAAGTGAAGACTAAGCAGGGGAAGACAAACCCCACTGCAAGCCCATCCCAGACAGATTCTGAAAGATGAGGTGGGCTGAACCTGCCCCACTTAAGTCCAAGTACACACACTTGACCTTTTCTAAATGCAGAGATACCAGCTACCCAAGAAAAGGTATTTAGGGCAATTTACCAAAGTGAAAACCTCTAATAATAAAGCGATTAAACAATCTGCAATTAACTTAAACAATCAGGAAAACACTCTAAAACTAAACTATACCTCCAGTAGCATGGCAGACTAGGCTATAGCAGCTGGCCATCAGCAAAATAAACTCTCAGAACTGAACTGCTGTAGATTTCCCAAGCATATAAACCAGCCCATTCCTTCAATTTAATGAACAGCAGAAAGAAGAAGCAAAACCCAGAAAACGCTTACTTGGTGCAATAGTTGCATGTGGCCGGCATGGAGGTATTGGGTAGGGGACAGGTTTGTGTGGATTGTATGTTGAGGGAGGCTGGAAAGGGAAGCACAGTGGTTAGACATCATCAAGAAAGCATCTCCTAAAAAAAAAATACAAGTTGATTTTCTAAGCACCTGGTCCTAAGAGGCTGAAGATGCCCCAGTCATTAAAGCCTCCAACTAAGTAAAGTCCTTGCTTTAATAAAGGTGGTTCTTACTTAATTCCAAAGATACAGCTTGCCAAACATGGCGTTTTTCTTTTTAGCAATCAATCATCCTCAATCATCTCCAATAAAGATCAGACCTGTCCCTGAACAGCAGGCACCTTTCTAGTCCAGCCTAGGCCAATCCCAGAAATTCCTATCTTCATGAGGAAAACATCCGGAATCTTCAGGGTTGGTCTCTCCGACACATAATGACCTCAAGGGCAATGTCCTCTTCACTTCATTAGAATCTTAGCACCAGGCAACCTGGCAATCACTACACAATGAAGTAGGAATTTGGTGTTTTGTTCTTTTGAAACCTATAGACTCACAAGCACTTTATTTTACAGTTGATGGCACTTACAGAATCTCAGATATCCAAAGCTACACTAAAAGCTGTACTTTACCCAAAGGGATAAACTGGTAGGAAAGTGCTGTGGAACAATCCTTGTACACTGTAAATATATATTGCTGTCATTGCCAAGGGAAGCTGATTGGCAGAGAGCAAAGCAGGATTTTTGAGGCACAAGAATGCAGGGAAGAAGGGAGCAGTCAGAGGAGTCATAAGAGACACAGGAAGAAGCAAGATGAATGTGTTGTGTTGAATGAAGGTAGATAACAAATATGGGGTAATTTAAGTTGTAAGAGTTAGTTAGCATTTATAATTAATATTACATCTCCATGTTTGTTATTTGGGAACTGGTAGGCGGGAATGTCCATCTACAAATGGCACCCAATCTGGGATACCTACATCTACATAAAAGCCAAAAAAGAGTTAAAAGGGTTCTCAACACACAAAAATGGAGCCAAATGCAGAGTCCTAGTCTCCCATGCCAGCTGCAGTACAGACACTTGTCTCCTGGTGGCTGTCAGCATGCCATGTGCTAAGTCACATGATGGATTCCCACCATCTTCACACAGGCTGCAGTACAGAGAGGCATCTCACAGCCACTGCCTGGGAGCTGGGGCTGCCAGCTTGACCTCAAGCTCCACCAGTACACTGCATAGAGAGTTTGGAGTTTGTTCATGTAGACAAAAGAGTTACTGATACTCAATAAAGACAGATCCAGGTGTTAAAAAAGAAAGGAAAAAAAAAAAAAAAAAAACAAAAAAAAAACACCTCAAAATGGGTTACAGTGTATTTGGGCTTGGGAGAGAAAAGAAAATGGGTATAGACACTCATAAAAAATATATAGATTTAAAATAGTATAGTCCTTAATAAGGCAGCAAAGTAATAAACCACACCAAGATAGGAAATACACAGAGTCTAGATCCTGTGTGTTATTGTGTTGTCGTTAAATTTTCTGAGTGCTAACTGCTAAGAAATATTGGATTACGGAAACTGCTAGATTAAACCAATTTAATTTGATTTCAAAGGGTATGTTACTTTGGGGGAGAGGTTATGTTTTTATTTCTACAGGAGATGAGAGATTGTGGATTCAGTCCAGGTTAAAGATGATCACGTTGATGGAAGAAGACCCCTTGAAAACCCAGACTACAGACCTGACACAAACCTAAAACACCACAAAACATGTGACATATATTTTACCTGTTCAAACGTAAAACAAATAATCATATTGGCTAACGTGTGTACAACACAAGTCTATACTTGTACAATACAGATACATGTTACCTTTAAAAAGTTTTTGTATTTTCAGAGCAAAGGGACCAGACGCCAATGAAAAGGCCCAGGTGATTGGAGTGTCCAGCATCTCAAAGTATCTCTGTTGCAGCTTCCTCAGAGTTCTGCATCCAGAACAGCTTCAAGGCTACTGGCTAAGATGGTTTAACCTCACACACTATTCCAATCAAAACCTAACAATCATCCCGATTCTCTCAAGGTTCTCCCAAAGATAGCAGCACCCATGGACAACAGGAAGTTGTCTAGAAAATGATGCCCACATTCCCAAGAGATGGGGTATGGGAAAAGTTTTGGTTATTTGATGTATTATGATGTTTGTCATTATTTAGGGAGGTTGGTTGTAAGTTGTTTTTGGACATAGTCAAAAAATAGCTAAACAAAAGAGTCAAATTCAAAGATTCTTTTCTAAAGAAAAAAAGGGGGGGATATGATATAGGAATGACAGGAAAAAAAGATAGATTATCGAATCTACTTTAATCCAAAAAGCAACTATTAATCTCAAAATATTTTCTGTTGGTATGGATTTTAGTTTACTGATACCAATTTAAAGTTAATTTTGTTCTCTGTATGTATGTTTCTACTCTTGTTTAGGATATTATGTTTATGCAGTTTATTTAAAAATGTATACATAGAGGCTGAAGAGATGGCTCAGAGGTTAAGAGCACTGACTGTTCTTCCAGAAATCATGAGTTCAATTCCCAGCAACCACAAGATGGCTCACAACTATCTATAATGAATCTGGTGCCCCCTGTTGGCCTATAGGCATACATTCAAGCAGAATACTGTGTATATAACAAATAAATATAAAAAAATGCAATATATAATTAAGAAATGTAGATAATAATCAAATCTAATAGTCACATTAGATATTCTATCAAGTTCAAACACAGATATATTTAGATAGACGGTCTTCAGACACTTCAAAGACCTAGAGAATATAGCATTTAATATGTTTAATAATCCAAGACTTCACGACAGTGAGACATGTCTGCTCCTGGCAGTACCAATCTAATTCAGAGATGATGGGCATTGAAGAAACTCCATATGCAGGTTTTTTTTTTGTTGTTGTTGTTGTTTTTAGCTAGCCATTTGGGCAAAGGAACTGCCCTTGCCTCAATTGCTGACAGGCAACTGCTAAGCTAAACTAACTGCCAAGACGACAAGGTAGAATAGTCCTTTAAAATTCCCTGCTTCTCAAAAATGCCTGTCAGATATACTAGGCCTGTATGTAGGTCAAAGTTGGATGCTCCAATATTACAAAAGAACTTTTATTGTTACACAACATTTCACCCTTCTGGGGTCTTTGATGACGTCTCCTGAAAGCCTTTCTCATTTATTACATTAAGTACCAATTAATAGTCTAGGTATCAATCCACCAGAATTACCTTCTGATACAGAATATATACTAGGTGCTTTATATTCTCAAAAAAGCCCCAGAGAAAGGAATTCCTTCTCATCGGGGCATCAGCCGTAAGAGCTGCAGCCTCTGGATCTCACGCTACATAGCCTTAGTGTTTTTCTTTGATATATTGCTGAGAAGTCTCCTTTAATCAATTAAAAGAATGTTTTACAAGTCATGTCTCCCCCCTAAGACATGAGGCGCCCTGCTTTTGTCAAGACCTTATCTGCCTTCCTGATTCTGAGAGACATGCATGTCCTATTATCAGAGAGTGAGCCTTGTGGGAAAAAAAAAGAACTTTTATAGAATTTTATTTTGGGGGGCGGTGGGGCTTTTAAGACAGGGTTTCTCTGTATTATTTTGGAGCCTGTCCTGGAACTTGCTCTGTAGACCAGGCTGGCCTCGAACTCATAGAGATCCACCTGCCTCTGCCTCCTGAGTGCTGGGATTAAAGGCATGTGCCAGGAACACTGGGCTCTTTTAGAGAAGGGAGGACTTCTAAAGAGAATTTTTTTTTTAAGAGAGCTTTTAGAGAAAGAACTTTTGAGGAGAAATCTTAGAGATTTTTGAGAGAGAACTTAAGGGGCAGAACTTTTTTTAAAGAATAAAGAGCCATGAGAAAAATGATTCGTGAATGATTTGATTCATTGGCCTTTAGATCTTATTAGTCAGCCCACCCACCTACTGTAAGCCCCCTGCCTGAACCCTCAATAGGAGTTAAAGACTAAATAGTCAGGCTTAAAGCTTTTCTTAGTTATGAAAAAAGGTAAATTAGGTATAAAGCCTTAGGTTCACAAAGATAGATAATAGATTATTTTCTTTAATTTTGCTAAACACAAATGGATTGGATATTGTAACTGTACTTCTTACTTGGTAAGAATTTCTTTTGTATATAATTTCTTGTTGTATTTTGCTATGTTTAAGTACAAATCTTCCTTTTTTAATTAGACAGAACAGGGGAATGCTATGGAACAATCTTTGTACACTATAAATATGTATTGTTATTGTTAATAAAAGAGCTGATTGGCCAATAGCTAGGCAGGATTTTTGTGGCAGAGAGAATGAAGGGAAGAAAGGCAGAGTCAGAGGAGTCATGAAAGACACAGAAAGAAGCAAGATGAATGTCCAGTGTTGAAAGAAAGTACCACCACATGGCAACTGGCTAGATAAGCAATATGGGTTAATGTAAGTTCTAAGAGTTAGTTTGTAACAAGTCTAAGCTATCAGACAAGCATTTATAACTAATATTAAGTCTCCATGTTGGTTATCTGGGAACTGGAAGGCAGGAAGGAAAACCCCACCTACAGGAAGGCACCATTTGCTCCTGGCCTCAGAAACAGCCATCGCTGATCCTCCTATCATGAATGGGCAGAGGATGCAAGGTCTGCGTGTGGGCCACTAGGACTTCTGCACTCCCTCCACTCTGGAGGTCCCATTCTCCTGCTCAATTTACATTCCCAGTCATTGGCATCATTCTCTTGAAAGGACAAGCCCAGCTGCATCACTGATATTGACACTAGTTAACTGACAGAACTCTGGCTAAAATACACAGCACAGTCCAACCTTCATCTAAATAGATAAATGTGGTTGGATTAAAACACTTACCCTCCAAAGATATGTGAACACTACTAAGTACTTATACTACCTACCCTAGGCCATTCTCTCTGATCTGGAATTTCTACTACATTTAAACTTTGCAACACACACACACACACACCTCTCACTTTATACAGAAAGCTACACATATAGAAATTAACACTTGTTTTCTCTTTTATTTCAACACATACCGGCTTGGATGGTCCAAGAATTCGTGCTGCTATTCCTTTGCCTTCATTGGTATTTTCTTCACCATCCTTTTTCAGAGGTGTGCCCTTTAAAAAAAAATAAAATAAAGATAGTTGAGACTTTAGACAACAACAAACAACTACACTGTTCTATTCTGAAGAAAGGGACTCAATTTGCCAGGAATGAGACATGCATTCTAGATCAATATTACCCTAGCTAGTTGCCTGACCTCTTTACCCTACTGTGCCATGGAAGCAGAGGGGATGATAGAGGGAAGGATGGCATGTACTTTAATACCACACACACACACACACACACACACACACACACACACACCAGAAGCTGAAAAAGAAACCTGGCAACTGAAAACCCATTAGAGACTGCTCTATAGGAACAGATCGGAATAAGCCTGTCTCAGCAGGCTGTGTCCTTAGAAGATAGGACACACTGTGATGGAGCATGGCTTCTAAGATGGCCCCTCTGGTCCTTGCTTCCCACCATCTATCTCAGAAAAACTAGGGCTGACTTGTGTCACTAACATGACATTAAAGAATGCCACCGATTTCCAAAGTCAAGCCCTAAAGAGGCCTTGCTGAAGTTCCCCCTGCCTCTCCTTGGATAGACTCCTGACAACAAGTAACATTAACTTGCCAGGCATTTAAGTGAGCCTGGAAAGAATATTCACGTATGCCAGTCAAGCATTCAGATGAAACTCAGGCCAGAACTAGAGCTAAGCCACAGCTTCCTGAATCACAAAAGCTACAGGAGTATGATGTGGTGTACACTCTTTCAATCCTAATGATTAAGAGGCAGTGGTGGATGGGATCTCTATGAGTCCTAGGCCAGTCTGGTCTACACAGTGAGTTCCAGGTCACTCAAGGGTACGGAGTGAGACCCGGCCTCAAAAAACCAAACCCAACAAACAAATAAAAAGCTATTGGGAATAATAAATGTTTGCTATTTAATCCATGAAGCTCTGGGGTTGTGACACAGTTAATAGAAATGTAACAACTTTTGAAAAGGTTCTTTTCCAAGGGCTTTGAGGACCACCCACTGGTATCCAAACAAGATTCTTATAGGCTTCATCATGCAGTTTCCGAAATGGGTTCTCAAATACACAACTGTCAAAAATGCTGAGTCTACTTGGAAAAGAAAGCAAAATCCCCATTTGTCTGGCATGTTCTGAAGGTAACAGTCAGTTAATGGCATTTATACATGAACTTTCAACTGTCTACTAATTAAGTTGAAGACATGAGAGTCCTTCCCTTTGTAGAAGCATTATAAGATGGCATATTCTTATATGTAGCACATATGTGCACAGATCTGTGCTACAGTCACACTTAGTCATGGGAAATTTTGTGTATGCAAAAGCATGCTTACAGGGAAAATCCCATTGATGCGGCTGGGTTTTCCTTTGGGATAGGGGTTTCCTGGGATGGTTCCACATGAAGATATCATGGCATGAGGGGCTTTGCAGCCTGCTTTGAAAGCCTGTAATGCAAAAAGAAAAACAAATCAAAAAGACAGTGATTAACAAAAATCAGACTTATCATATCATGTATTCCAGATAACAGGAAGTCCAGCTAAAGCCACGAACTAAGGAAGAGTATGAGGGGACGGCATTCACATACCCACCCATCAATCACCACTGATCTACACAAATGGTGAGTCCAAAGAAGTGAGTTATTACATGGAACCATGGTTTCATTACCAAGCCACCATCACTAGTACTACAAGCAACAGGCTCAAGAGAAGTCCACTATCTAGCAGCAGGGTGTGGTGCACACACCTTTAATGCCAGTGCCCAGGACACAGAGGCAGGTGGATCTGAGAGTTTGAGGCTAGCCTGGTCTACATAGTGAGTTCCTGTTCCATTTCTTCAGTTAATTATCGAGAAAAAAATGTCTAAAATGACACAAGCCTGGCTCATGTGAATGCATTTACTCTGAAAATGTTTATAGCTCTCTCTCACACACACAAATAATGGGGGTGGTTCAGCAAAAAGCACCTTCTGGTTCTTTCACAGGCATTTACATGCATGTGCACATACTCACACACAAAAGTAAAAACAAACCAATTTTTTTTTATTTAAGAAAAAGTTTTTTCATTTTCTATACCAACCCCAGTTCCCCCTCCCCCACCTTCTCTGGCTCTCCCCCCTTCCCACAACCCATTCATTCCTCAGAGGGAGTAAGGTCTTCCTTGGGGAGTCAACAAATCATTTTTGAAAGCTTAAAAAGCAACCCCAAAGAGCTAGACTACTGAAAAAGCAAGAATGACTTATTGCAGTATTCAGTTGTGAGACACAGGAAATGGATTTAGGTCTATGGTGTTTACATTGCACCCTAAACTTCTAAGATGGCACCTTAGACATGCTGAGCTAGTGCTCAGTGCTTTGAAAGGCAAATATACTCCAGTGGATGTATACTGTAGTAGGAATAAAAGGTATTATGTGCAGCACACACACAAGTCATATTCATATCAAAGTACTTACAGGGATGCTGTTTGCATTTATAATTACTTTTATAAATCCCCAATACACACAATGACATTAACTGTATAATCCAGCCTCCAACTTTAAAACATCTCCAACCACTTCAACTTTAGTGTGTGTGTGTGTGTGTGTGTGTGTGTGTGTGTGTGTGTATGTGTGTGTGTGTACACACACACACAGAGTACATCAATTTGGTCATAATAAACTACACTGGTCAAATGTCCTTACATATAAATTTGTATATTTCTTCCTTAGGACAAACTTAACAGTAGAACTTTTGGACTAATTCATTTACATTAACAGTTCTATAGAGCAGTTCTATGGTCCCAGAACAGTGCTGAACCAAAAGAGTTATGCACAGAATACATTAGAGGGGGGAACCCCCCCACACACACACATTGCATATTGTCTTATATATAAGATATTGTCAAGAAAACCAGTGAGAATGCTGTTCAAGAGATGAGAGATGAAGGCTAGATGAAGGCTGGACATTGGTGGTGTGTGCCTTTAATCCCAGCACTAGGGAGGCAAAGGCAGGTAGATCTCTGTGAGTTCAAAGCCAGCCTGGTCTACAGAGTGAGTTCCAGGACAGGCTCCAAAGCAATTCAGAGAAACCATGTCTTGAAAATCCACCCCCTCCACATACACACCAAAAAAAAAGTGATGTGAGGTGAGGTTCATCTTGGTGATGAAACAAGGAGAGAGGCAACACTGCCCTTCCTGAACTCAGGAGGCTTTAAAGATCACACAGGTGAACAGCGCGGCCCTCAGAGAGCATGAGCTCCTTCAAGCAGGCTTCTACTTTAGTGGAGAGGCAACATGACCCTAGGAATTTGCAAGTGTAAATGGCAAGTGGAGGTTCCGAAGCTTGGGTAGATACCCTGCACCTTTTACACATTTTTCTTAATGAGGTGGAGTTTTGTTTCAGTACTCGTCTCCTATGAATTTGACTACTGTAAGTCTGCTGACAGAACAAGTGTGAAGTCATTGTTCCCAAGCATATGAAGACAGAGTGCTTGGCCCTGTGGCAGAGCTGCAGTGCCCCACAGGGTGACCACCAATGGATTTTCATTCCTGTGTGACTTCTGCCCTCACAGCTTTTTCTACAAGACCCTACTGGTGCTCCCTCTTGGACAAGAATAACTACGTCTAAGTTTGTCCCCAACACTGCCACAGTGAGGCAGGTGCGTCACTGTTCACCAGTACCCGAATCCAGCATGACATCTGCACAGCAACTGTGAGGATTACCTGCTCCAGGACTCTTTTACACCGTTTCTTCTCTGACATGTTGATCCTGAATAAATCTTCAATGGGACGAGAATTCTGTGCATCCACAATGTTTCTGTCAAGGAAACATGACTTAGCTTCTGTGTGAGGATCCGGGAAGACATACCAAAGGTCAGACACGCTTTGTGTTTATGATTTATCAGCACATACTGGACTGTAGAATATACTGCCTATGAATAAGCAACTTGCCCATCCTTAAACTTTGCCTAAGAGTCCCTTTCCTTCTCTTCATCTCATGCTTACCTATGTTCTCAAATGTCAAGTGTGGAGCACTGCACAGCCTGACACCATTCTATCACTCTTGTAATTGCAGGCTCTGAGGCTACATGCACCCTCCTCAATAAACATCCTAGGTTTTTACCAGTTTGCTTTTTGAATTACTCAAGATGGGAAGGAGGCAAAGCAAATACTGAAATGTAGGGGTGTGAAACAGCCTTTAGACTGAGAGCCATGTCTACATATGTAGGAAACACAGGGGTGTTGACTATGTAAAAGACACTAGAATCCAGTACCATGCTTTCACAGAATGTGGGCATCTTTGTTTGTTTTGTTTGGAAATGGGTTCTTACTGTCTTACTCAGGGTCTTCTGCCTCAGCCTCCTAAGTTCTGAGATGACAGATGTGTGCTATCACAGATTCCATTAGAGTTCTGCTTCCTTACATGATTGACATATTAGCACAGATCACTTTCCATAGACTATTTCATTATCATTCTGTTGCCTCACGTAGCTGTCACACTAACACATATCAGTGACTTTAAAAGGCCAGTGAGGTTCCAGATTTGAACAGGCAGTAAAGGGAGTGAGTACTCACGAGGCCAAGAGCTCCAGAGCAGCCAGCTTGTCTTTACTGAAGGTAAAACAGCTGAGGATGCTGACCACTTCTGCTGGGTGGACGGCCACCATTTTCTATTATAAAACATAACGTGTTTCAGTGTGAGACTCTATGCCAGACCTTACCTGCTTCGGGGAAGTATAATTGTTAGTATAAACATTTCAGGACACAGCCTAAACTTAGCCAGGAAGAACAAAAGCAGAAGGTTAGCCTCAGCAACTCGAGGGAATCCTAGAAATACTGAGGCACGCTTGGACTCTTTTGAGTACAATCATTTCAGAAGCAGGTCTAAGTTCTGCATGTGTGTTTTAGATCTGTTTTCCAATGTGCTCGCCTGCACCAAGTGTAAGCTCCTCTGAATGGCCATCTGAAAGGTCATGGACAGAGCTGGCATGTACACAGGTGACTCAACTCATAGTGCAAGGCACAGGAGTCACAGTTGGGGAAGGGACTGAGCTTCTCTCCCCACATCAGGGCTCTCTTGAGTCTATAGTAATGCATGGTAGGAGATGCTGCAGAGTCTGCATCCTAAGGGTCTAAATCCGAGAACTCTGCTTTGCAATAAGCATATTCCCCCAATTTGCCAGTTAGGACTGGCACAGAATTTAATAGTAGCACAATGCAATTTCACACTTTTTAACACAGTCATTTGGAGTTTCACAGTATAATGGGATTTAAGGTTAGCTTTCTAACACATACCACAACTTGATCTGGGTTATGCAAAGGTAGGGGAATGAAACATTGGCACTTCACACATGGGCAAGAAGGGAGGGTCACTCACATGCTGTAGGGCTTTCATGGCCTTCAGCTGTGGTTCTGCCCAGGAGAAGTACCTTAGGAGGTCCACCACCTGCAAGCAAAGAGACTCTTCAGTTCTCATGACAGTGTCTGCACACATTCCTTTAAAACAGATTCTCACACTTGGGATTCCTGTCACCGTGTGTGGAAGATGAGCATGGCACCAGAGTATAACAGTGTGACAAAGCACTTCAGGAAGACTTAAAACTTCAGTCTCATTGCAGGACAGGCCTCATATCAAGTGTTCAAATTTACAAGCTGTTCTCCTCACATCACTACATGAGTGTAGTGGCATTCCCTGTTCACTCCCCACAATACCACAATACATGTTTTTCTCTTCTTTCTATCTTCCTTTTTTTTTTTTTTTTTTTTTTTTTTTTTAAATAAAGGAGACATACAATCTAGAGTTGGCCTGGCAGTGCATGACTGTGAACACCAGCAAGGCAGGAGGCTGAGGCAAGAGAATCTTAAGTGCAGGATGAGTCTCAGCACCTAAACAAGTCTCCATCTTAAAATAAAAATTAAAAAAAAAGAGGGGGGTCTGGGATGCAATGCAGTTCAGTGGAGGGGCACTTGCCCAGCATGGGCAAGGCTGGGGGTTTAATCTTTAGTATCACAAAAGAAATTAACTATTAAAAGAAAGTAATAAGGATATGCAGGAAATGGCATATATTGAAGAACAGGATGTTGAAAAGTTAGGTGGAGAGGGAACATCGGCTTGGTGAACACTACAAATGGAACCGACAAAGCGCATGCGGGGCGGGGGCAGCTCCGTCATTCACTGGGGTGAGGGATGGCCTGCAGCTCCACTTCCGCCCTTGGATCTCTACTAATCCTTGGAGCTCACTACAGCAGTCAGTCACAGATCTGCCTCAGCACTGCACCATGAGTCAGAGAAACAGGATCTCAGGGGCCCCCACCACAAACAGAGGCCTTAATGCAAGGGTGAACCCTGTATGCGCCAGTCAGGGGTAAGCAGAGCACTGGGGTTCCCTCACCCTGGGAAGCTCAGCGGGGGGGGGGGGGGGGGTTCAGCCTATTGGCTGTGGAGCACAGTCCAGCATTTAGACACGGTCTTCTTTAGTCAGAGTGAATTTCAAAACTGTTCTAGATACTAGACAAATTTAGTAAAATTTATAAATTCATAAACCCGAAAGTTATGATTTCTGCTCATGAGTGTTTTGCATGTGCCTACATATGTGCACCACAAGTGAGCCTGGTGCTCCAGGAAGGTATCAAATGCTTTGGAAGTAGAGTTTGGGATGGTTGTGAGTCACTATGTGGGTGTTGAGACAAACCTGGGTCCTCTGCAAGAGCAGGAAGTGCTCTTAACCACCCAGCCATCTCTTGAGCCTTTGTTATTTTTCCCCCCAAGAATAACTGACAGTTTAAGTAGCTTAAAAAAAAAAAAAAAAAAAAAAAAAAAAAGATACTGTGTTTTTAAATGGCCTTAGAGTAGGAATTGTGGAGTAAGTACACAGCAATGCATGTGTCCCATGCATATATTCTGTAAAGTCTCTGGACAGATTTAGGAGCTTCTGTAGCTCTGGCACAAAGAGTCAAAGCAATTCTAAATGTATCCAATGAGTAAACAGACCCACCCAAACACTAGTACAAACGGCTTTGAAGAATGACAAATACCTGTTCACTGGAGAAGTACCCATGAACATATTCAATTGCTTTTAATTTATATTCTGTCAAAACAGCCTGGAAAAGGGGGGTAAAAAAGAAGTAATGTATCAGCAGCATGTTAATATTCAGCTACCCACACTACATTACCAACCCCCCCCCCACCCCATCCCCAACCTGATAGGGACTGGTCTCATTCAGCTCTGGCTGTCTGGCTGGGAGCAGCAGCAAAGGGGGCAACAAGAAACCCGACCTTTTAGCCCTGCTAGGGCTCCATGAGCACTTACACAAAAGGAGTAACATTGTAACAGAGCCCAAACTAGTATCAAATTTCTGAATATCTACTTAGTTTCAAAATATATCTAGCTGATACAACTTGCCAGGCCTTTTCCTTTTTGTTATTTCTTCCTAGAGTGATCTTACTATGTAGTCCAGGCTGCCTGGAACTAGCTAGCAATGTAGCCCTCAGCAGCCACCCTAGAGCTTGCTTCCTCATTCATAAAGGCGGATCCCAATCATAATCCTCAACCAGCTGCAGTGAGGCCCTGATAACCAGAGAGCTGACACACAGCAGGTGCTTGACAAATGACAGCCCTCCTCTCTGCCTCAGCAAACTATTCAAGGCTAAGGGAAGTCACATAGCTCTCCTCCAAAGACGGAAAGATCAGGCAAACAATCCTAGCTTGCAAGCCACTCATTGTAAAATACCAACTAGCCGTTTTCTCCTCACTACAAAACAGATGTAATACTGGCATTTCTCATACATACCATTCTACTAGGAGCAAATGCAATGACCAGTCAAAACATTCAAGGTGCTCAATAGTTTACCTTTTACAATGCACTCTGGGTAATGTACTGAGGCATGTGATCATCATCGTTACAGAGACAGTCAAAAAAGCAAGGTTCAGGACCAAATCCTGGCTTGAGCTGATGACACCAATCATGTTTCAAATCTTCCCTCAATGCTGGAGATGTTCAGCTGTGTCCCCCACCCCCACCCCCCCGGGCGTGGAGCTCAGGGTTACATGGTCTTAATATCAGACTCCTGGGCGAACATCAGCTACCTAAGAAGGCTTGGCTTGCCAGCTGTAGACTCGGGAGTACACCATCTAACTCCACAGATTAGGAAGCTGAAGTCAAACAGGAAGTTCATACTTATTAATAGCTCTCATTATCATCATTTTGAAAAAAAAAATACCTCTCCTATTTCTGTCCCAGGTGACTTCTCAGAAGTGTCTACTTAAATGACAGGAGTGTCAGCCAGAATTATCTTGGATGTACAGAAGAGGCATCCTGATTTAAAGTGACATAAAGCCTAAGCACAATTCCTAACAATTATAACCCCACCCCTATTTAGAAATGCCTGTTTAATTCCACTTTAGTGGACTAAGAGTGCCGATGGGCTTCTCCAGCTGGCAAGCCAACTAAGACCAGAAATATGGACTTACAGGCTGTCTCAGATGAACAGACTTTCATCTCCAGAACCTTTCCAATTCCCTCGTTAATACTTATTACCAGTCATTTTCACAAGACTGAGAAGGGAGAGGACATACTCACACACACTGATATCTGTATTGCTCCAAAGCCTGTATTCAGGTCTACTTTAACTTTAAATTTATTTTCTCACAAGAGTGGTTAAAAATCAGCTGAGGAACTAAGTGTGGCAAATTGTAAGTAGATGGTAAAATGACATTTTGTTTCAAATTTTAATTAGATAAAGAGAATCTGCAAGAGCAGAAGTCTATTTGAAAAGAAAGAAGTCAGCACCATCAAATATGAAAGATTAATTCCGTTAATTTAAAAGGGGGGGTCTTACAAAGAGCAAAGGAAGAACTATAGATCTAGCGGCAACGTTTGCAGTGAGTCTTACAAGCTGAAGTAAATAAGGACAGCAGTGTATGGAAACAACTCTTCTGGTGTCAGTCAGGAGCACCAGTTTGAGGCGCCAACTCGATGCAGGACAGCCCAGACCAAGCGCTGGGATGGTGGCTCACATCTAATAGGTATTTTTGCACAACAGATACTTTTAGACTCAACACTACATTCCAAAAAATTTACTGTCTGGTTCAACCCAGTTAATAGAAAATACAAAACAATCTCAAAAAGCAGAAGGAAAAGGAAAAGCAAGGCAGGGAATATATTCTGCCTAGCTTGAGATTTGAAAAGAAACTTTCTGGGTAGTACTTATTACTTCCAATGTTGAGTCATTCCTGTTAACTGAAACATGGAAACCCTGAATCAAATGTCACTCAACCAGAAGGCCTGAGTTATGAGGGATTTACAGTTGGCTCCGGAACAGTGGTAGTCCAAACGTAATTCCCGTACCAGAATGATTTCTCAAGTTTAGCAATCAGGTGGCTTATCTTCTATTTGAGCCGTGCAACCTACCGAGATGCAAGCTCTTACATTACACATGAAAGTTCAAGTACCTTTGACCATTCGAGGACTCTTACTTTTTGCATCATCTACACACAATACCTCAAAGAAAGTAAACCTCGGTAATTATCTCAGAAGATTTTTAGGGACCAAGGTCAATTACCTTCCGAATCTCATCCAGCACCGTCTCAAAGGACTTTTTGTCCATCTTGAGCACTATTCCGACGTGGCTTCTCACAGTTCTTCTGGAAACGAGGAAACGCTCATCCCAGGTACGCCCCGCGGATAATACGCCAGAAGGAAAAAAAGGAGGCGAGGAGGTAGAGAGTACTGCAAACTGCACCCAAACAAAGCAAAAATCCCCAAACGAAAACTTAGAAAAAGTTTTTATTTAAAAACAGACTTCAGTAGGTTTTCCACACACGGACTGGGGCGTTTGCAGAAACCGGGGCTCCGGAGGGCGCCGAGGGCCGGGCGCTCCGAGGGAAGGTCGCCGCGCCACGCGCCGCTCACCGCCGCGATCTGGGACACATGGCCCGGAAGGCGCTCAGCCCCGCCGCTCCGCCCGACCCCGGGGTCCCGCAGCTTCGGCAGCCGGCGGCCGTGCAGGTTCTTTGTTACCCGTTTTCGTAGCTTCCGGAGCGGGCCGGCGGTCCGGGCGCACTAGGAGCGGGGCGAACGGGACACAGCCTAGAGCAGGGAGACCCTCGAAGACCGCAGCGCGCACAGGGCCGGGCGCCCTGCAGGAGTACCCCCAGCCACCCCCACCGACTCCGGGGGGCCTTCGAGAGAACGCGTCGCGTCGTTAGCACGCAACTGTGCACCGACACTGTAAGTCGCTATTGCCCCAAAAGACCGCAGCTGGGGTGGGGGGAATGAATGGGTGGGGTCCTAGTGTGGGAATATAGGTATCCTCGGCAACCGCCTGAATGCTTTCGAAACGGATGTGACTGCAGTCCTTTCAAGAGCTTTTTGGTCATTGTTTTAGTGTCATAGTCCCCATATTCTTGGGTTTTGTGGGTCTAGTTTTGATTATTGAATGTAAATTTAAAAGAGTAGTCGGTAAGCCGGTCAGGAAGATCTGCGGGCGCCACCAGGCTAGCGGCTGAAAGAAGCCCGAGGCCAGCAGCGCCCCCTAGCGGGGAAGGGTGGTCACTGGGTCACACTCCAGGCACCTGACTTGGGGGCGGGGGCGGGGAAAAGAGGAACAGGAAATGCGGAATTTAAGTTTCTCTGGTCTAGTTTTCAGGTGCTTTACGTTCCAGGCTTCTGCTGTCCCAGAGGCGGCTTCAGTCCCCGCCGTCCTTCGCCTCCCGGATCCTCAGGATGGCGAGAGTCTGGGTCTGCGTGGGAGGCGCCGTCTTCTTTCTTTCCTGTCTGGTTTTGCATGCCTGCTACAGTGGCTCTCTGGTGAATAGCGGGGATGGGGCTGCCGGGCGGGTGTGGGTGACGCCGAGAGCTGCAACCCCAGAGGCACCGAACCTGCTCCCGGGGCTCGACAGCTGCCCATTTGCCTTCTCTTTTAGAATTAAAACGTATGTGTGTCGGGGCTGAGGGGTTAGCGCGGAGGTTGAGAGCTCTTGCACAAGGCTAGGGTTCGATTCCTAACACAAACATGAGGGCTCACTTACCCCATTGTAACTCACTCCAGTTCCAGGGGACCTGATGCCCCTTTCTGGCCTTTGTTGGTACATGGTGCACCATGTGAGCACTCGGGCTCACACATATGCGTGTAAATAAAACTAAATACGGCCTTTTATAAAATAGATACATACTGGATTTTCTTCCCCAGCACTTACTACACTTTTGAGCCATTTGCAGACTTTTATTGTGGTTGTTTTGATCTTTAGACATAAAACCCTGTTTATCTGGCCTTATTCTGGCTACCTTCTTGTGAAGGCAAGCTTAAAGATAAACAAAAGATAGGGACACGTTGTACTTCCTTTTTTTTTTTTTCTTTTCCTGGAAGAAAAACTGAACCTGAGGTTTATTTTATTTTAGGTTTTAAGGACATTTGCTTTTTACATACCCTGGAGAAAGGAGAATACTCTTTTCCGGCTGGATTTGGGTTGGCCCAAGTATTCAGAATACTTCACTGGTTCCACATTTTCTGTTGCAGTTGACTCCCTCAACGGGTTAGTTTATGTAGCTCAAGTAAGTAGAATGAATATTTAATGTATGTGAGCCTGTGAGTTGCAGAGATCAGAGTGTGAATGTGGAGATATGAGGACAACTTTTTGGGATTTGGTTTTCCCATCCTTCGAAAGGTTTCAGAGATGAAACCCGGTTGTCAGGCTTGCTTAGCCACAGATACCTTTATAAATTATGCACATTCAACTTTATTACAGCAAAAAAGAACAGTCAACCTGAGCATGACAAAAAGAAAAAGAAAAAAAAATAACAGTAACAAAAGTGACTTATCGCACTAGATAGCCAATTGCATTTATACTATATTTATATTTTTACTACATTTATGTTATGATAATTATGCACCTTAACTTTGACTTGGCTTCAACTACATATTTTAGATTTGTATGTAATAGATGTTATTGTTAAGTTACTTTGAAGTTAGCTTTTTACACATTACTAAGTTTCTCAATTATCCTTTAATTTTGGTTTCTCTCTGACAAAAGTAAGGGTTAGCATTCCTATTAAGTGATTCTAAGCAGTTATTTTTGTATGCCTTCAGAGAGGGGATAACATCCCCAAGGTATTAGTGTTCACAGAGGATGGATATTTCCTACGAGCCTGGAATTATACAGTTGACACACCCCATGGTATATTTGTCTCCAGCACACCATATGAACAGTCCGTCTGGATCACGGACGTAGGAAGTGGTATGTGTCGTATTGTCTATTAAATTGCCTTCCTAGATGGAATTCAGATCTTTGCCCCTGTTCTTGCTTGTACGTTTTAAGGCCAGCATTGCTGAATCTAATCATAATTTCTTCAACATTTCACAAATCTACATCACATTCCTGTTGAATCAAGAAATTGAATGATGCTGTTAATCATGATATTTTAAGCTTGTCAAGGGAGTGGTGTGTGTGTGTGTGTGTGTGTGTGTGTGTGTGTGTGTGTGTGTGTGTGTGTGTTGTGCATGGTGGGGAGGGTTGTGGCCAGAGTGTCATTCCTTGGGGGTCTATCAGCCTTGTCATTTGAAACAAGACCTCTCACTGGCCTGGAACTCTAAGGCAGGCTAGGCTTACTGGCCAGTGAGCCCCAGGGATCTCCCTTTCTTCCGGTCTCAATGCTGATTACAGTGCACCAAGCATACTCAGTGGGCTTTTTGTTTTTTATTTATTGTTTTGTTTTGTTTTTCCATAAATGGTTCTAGATCTGGAACCCAGGTCCTGTACTTTGAGTGACAGGCATTTTCCTGGTAGACTGAATTACCCTCCCACCCCGCAGTTCAACATCTTTCCTTTGAACCTTAAGTTGCTCTTCTCCGAGTAATCCTAACCTCCTCTGTAAAGTCAAACCAGATGCCAGTGTTTTAAAGGAAATCACTGGACTCTTAACTCCCCTTTATATCTGTTGCCTTTTTAAAGAGTGAACAAAGTAACTAGAAGCTGCTGTTTGTTGCCCAGAGAGAAAAGTTTTGCAGAAGCTGGTGTTAACTGTTGCAACATTGCATTGACTTGACTGTGTCAGAAATCTTCTTCCCTGAGATGTTTTTACTTGACAGTGTTGGAAACAAAGTAGGCTCAATAGCTTCACAGCTGCAAAGGAACTTAGCAGAGACCACCCTCCACTTGTGGAGCTGGTGCCTCAACAACAAACACCTGGGTCAGTTTCTAATGACAGTCCAGCAGGCATGGGCTCATCAGGGAGGATGTTGCTAGAGTCCCTTGGTCTGGTTATGTCTTTGGCTTGAAGGACATCCTGCTTCCCAGTGCTTGATAAGTCACCACTTTTTAGAATTGGTAAGGTGTGTGCTTTTGTGAGTACAACTGTTGTCAGTCTTGTTCACAGGATGCAAAAGATTTCTGGGCCCCAGGTATGGAGCAGGCAATCCATTTCCTTTAGTCTTTATTTTGGAAGGTAAATGTTGGAACATCTCAATATTGGCAGTCAAAGCGTGTTAAGGCTGCTCCCTTTTCTAAGTCTTTACTTAGAAAAACAATACTTTTCATCTTTTCTCCTTTTTATCTCTTTTTTCATCCTTTTAAATGCTTGCCAAAGTCTGGGCATGCTTCTCTGAACACTGCATGAGGTGCCTCTAAGCTTCATGGCTTTCCTCAGTTTCTCTTCTCCGTCTTCTCTGAGGCACCTGTTGAGATTACAGCTTGTATTCCCTGAAGTTTTCTCTAAATCCTAAGAACATTGGCCTTGAACTTATAAGTAGATCTAGGAGTGGGATTGATGCTCTGTGGTTTTAGAACACTTGTTCTTCCAGGGGATCTAGGTGCATTCATTTCCCAGCAATACATGGCAGCTCACAACCATCTGTAACTCCAGTTATGAGGGAGCTGATGCCCTTTTCTGGTTTTCTGGGTACTGTACACAGACATGCAGGCAAGCACTCATATACAGAAAATAAAGTTAAAAAAAAAAAAAACCTTTTGGAAGTATATGAGTTTATGCAATACTTTAATGAGATTCGACTGTTTTCTGTCTTCTCTGTCCCCAGAATTCACTTGAAAGACCTTTATATTTAATTTATTCTGTTCATGTCATTTAAAAAGAAGAAAAAGGAAAACGTCACTGGTTCCCAGAAGTAAATGCATTGCAGATGCTCTTATTCTTTCCATTGTGTCTTGTTTTCCACCCTCAAATCCCAGAAACTATTTTTATGCTCTTCTCATTTTTCAAATGAATTGATTTCCTCCAATGAAGATTTGGCTGCAAGTCAACCACTTAAAAAATTAATAAGTACTCCATCCTCCTTCCCAAGTCCTTAGAAACTTTGAGGTGTGCTTTGTCTAATATGTTGTGTTTTCTCCGTGGCTGAAAACTTCAGCTCCCGGATTCAGATCCAGTGCATGGTTAAGTGTACTCCAGGTGGACCTGTAGTGCGGGCTGACTGACTTGACTCCTGGTAAACCAGTCTTTGGATGCCTGCTGGTTACTTTGGCCTTCTGTGCCTTCAACCTGGCCCTGATAAACTGCTGCATAGTTTCCCTTACATGCTCTGGTTTCTTTATTTTGTAATTTGTAAGGCCATTTTAGTGCCGAGGTTATTGAAATTATTTTTCTCTCAAGAAATGATCAATTTTGATTTTGTTTCTACTAGAAAAAAATGTAATTAAAAAAATCTGTTATTAATAGAGAATTTTTTGTTGTTGTTGTTGACTTCTGGAAATACAAGGATGACTGAAATAAAAGCTTTGGATGTAAGTTGCTTGTTTTTTTGGTTTTTTGTTTGTTTGTTTGTTTCTTCTTGATTTATTTTATAAGCAGTGTGTTTCAAAAGGGACACGCACAAATTATCCTAAGTTTTCCATGTAGCCAGCATTTTTGTAGTATTCTTTTGTGTTTAGAGTCTCCTGATTTTGGAGTGACTAGATATTAATTCGTCACCAGGTTTGGTCAGACCTTATGAAGGGCTGCTTGCTGTCACCTGTCGCATTTACATATTGGAGTCTCTTGGCTTCTGTTGCCATTCCAGCCCAGTGAAAGATTTGCCTGTAGCTCATAGAAGATGTCACTGCTGAGCAATGCTCCTAACGTGAGCTTGTCTGTCTCTACAGGATCCTACGGTCATACTGTTAAAAAATATAATTCCCTGGGTGATCTTGTTCAAGTCTTGGGAACCCCAGGCAAGAAGGGCACTGGCTTGAACCCGCTGCAGTTTGACAACCCTGCAGAATTATATGTAGATGACACAGGAGAGATTTACATTGTCGATGGAGATGGGGGATTGAATAACAGATTAATAAAGCTGTCCCAAGGTAAATGCTTTAACTTGCTATGATCATAAAAATGTTATTTTATAAACTGTGTTTGATCTGTTTGCTGCTTGGCATACTGTAGCCAGATTGCACAAGAAGTTGTGTGTGAAGGGCTAGACATGGAAGACAGATTGGTGGGATTGCCAGCAGCAAATAGTTCTGCCCAGGGGCCTCTGTGTTCAGCACAGCCAGCAGGTGGTCATAGGGACTGGAGGTGCTTTGAGAATTTAAAGGACTTCTGAGCATGTCCTGTCCTGTATATGTTGGGGAAGCCAGGAAGCTAGATCCCTGCCAGGCTTCCTGCAGCTGAGACAGGGTAACTTTGCCCTCTTTCTGTCATCTCCTCTTTGTGTTTCTGACCCCCACATCTCCCTCTTAAAAGATTCAGGGCCTACTGTAAATCCAGGATAATCTCAAGGTCTTTAGTTTAATTGCATCTTTAAAATCCTGCACCCAAAGGCCACATTCCCAGGTGCGATGTGTTAGGAGTGGACTAGACTTTTTAGAAGGAATAGTCCACTAGACTTAGTGACTCTCCTTCCAGAGACTAGAGGGAGACTATAAAAATATAACAGTAGGTATGCTGGTAAACACCTGTAATTCCTGCTCTCTGGAAGACTGAGGCAGGAGGATTGCTAGGAATTTGAGGCTAGCCTGAACTGCATGGTACAAGGCCAGCCAGGACTACATGATAGGATTCTCTGTCTCAGGAAAAGAAAAAGAAATTTGAACAACAAATGAACTTTCTGTACAAAGGGAACTAGTTTGAAGGAAACGATGCAGGAACTCTGAACATTGCTTCAGAAGTCAGTCAGAGCAGCTCAGGCAGAGCTAATTAAAGCAGAAGGAACACAAACCAGACAGACGTAGACAAAGTCAGAAAAGAATACTCAGGTTCTCAGTGTAATTCTCATTTTTTTTTTATTTTTTTTTGCAGTTTGCAAGACAAAATTAACATGTAAATGTGTAAGGCATTCTGTATGTTTCACTGTTTGTATATATTTACCATTTATAGATTTCATGATCCTCTGGCTGCATGGAGAGAACGGGACAGGACCAGCCAAGTTCAACATACCTCACGGTGTTACACTTGACTCAGTTGGTCGGGTAAAGACACAGCCTCCTTATGTTTGGAATGGCATGCATGTGGGTGGGTGGGCATGTTTGGGTGTATGTATCTGGGTGGGGTGTTCCTGTTTTGTTTCTGTTGCTGTGATAAACAAACAAACCCCTGCTCTTTCTGCTCCCTTCGTGGGGACAGAACACCTCCACCAGGGAATGAACTGTTCCCTGCTTCCCAGCCCCAGCTACTGCCCCCTCCCCCAGGCTTTTCCTCACCCTGTAAGCAGAGATACTGCTTCTTGGGATCATGAGGTTACCTTCCAACAGGCAAATCTCCGTCAGCCATGTTTAAATTCTCGGCCTGTTTTCTATGGTAGCACTGCTTTGCGTTACAGCCACCGCTGTTACGTTATCACAGATGCTCCTCTGTAGACTGCAGGCTCCAGTGACACGCGCTGAGTGGAGTTTGCTTCATCTCCACGACTAGCTCTGAGGGGTCATACCTGTGCTAAGTAAGCAAACATTTTGATGTACAGTGTCAGGCTGCCCTTTAATGTACATTGCTATGTCAGCCTGCCTTCCTTGATGCTAGTCCTGTTTATTATTATTATTTTTGCTTTTAAAAGAAATTGCACTTTGCAGAGCATGAGAGATCTAGACACAATCAAATTTACCATGGTGAGGAAAGTTCTTAGGGGCCAGCAAGATCATTAGGAGGGACAGTCTGAGATTGCTCAGTGGTGACAAAGGACAGCCTATTCTCTACATACTCGTGGATCTTGTTTGTCCATTGCTGCTGCTGTAGGGATAGGACCCAGGGTCTTCCACAGGCCAGGACGCCTTCCTCCCACTACTGAGCTGCTCCCCAGTGCAGGAGGGAGCTGGAGATGCCCCCCTGCTTGAGCACCAGCCTCTCACTGTCCCGTGTCTGTGCCTGTTTGGAAAAGGAGTCAGTGGCTATCACACCAATGAAGACAAAGTCGGTCTTTCTGGGCTACACAGACCCAAGAAACGGAAGGATCTGCCAGGGGTGTGGTCTGTGCTGTCAGGTGAACCTAGAATTGTATAATTCATGGATTCCCATGAATGCGACCAAGAACAAACCTGAGCACACTGTTTTATTACAGGAGTGCCTTAGTAACTCATTACAGGCTATAAAAACTGAAATCAAACCCATTATGTTGTATGTGTTACTAGCACGCCCAAGCTGCCTGCTGTTCAGGAATTCTGTCCTTTGGACCCGTCCCAGTAGCAACAGATAATAGTGGGAAGTGGGAGAATGAACGGGGGAGCCTCCTGGTGGCAAGGCTGCTTTTCTTTCTGTTGTGACCTAGGCTTAGGAGCCAGCTCAGTTGTGCATTGATGGTGATGGCTGTTAGAGGGATGAGTGAGTCTGTCCTTTGTCAGTGTCTTTGATCTTTTGCACAGTGGTGGTGGACTCAGGACTTTAGTTACTTGCGTGTTTAATGTGGTCAACGGCCCTGTGGGCTCTGGGCGGAGGCAGATGCCCAGTTGACTGAGGCATTCACACTTGTTAGTGCATTTCAGATGAGGTGTTTAACCCCCCCCCCCTGAACATGGAGTTTAGTGATGCCATCTTCCCTAAGGTCCTCTACACACCAACTGAGACAATGATGTGGAGCTAATAAAAGTAGTCATGTGTAAGGAGTAAGGTTTTTTCCCCGCCGCTGGTCTTGTCCCGCCACCGAGCCAGCCCCAATTAACACACCGAGACTCTGTATTTGATATTATGCTGTTGGCCAGATATTAGTTTCTTATTGGCTAGCTCTGTCTTAAATATTAACCCATTTCTGTTAATCTACATATTTCCACGTGCTTTCATCTTACCGGGGAGTGGGGTCTGCATCTGGTCTCTCCAGTCTCTCCACGTTGACTCCTTACTACTTCCTTGAATCCTCTTTGTTTCCTAGTCCCACCTATCTTGCTTTCCTATTGGCCAACAGTGCTTTATTCATTAACCAGTATGAGAAACATATTTACAGAATGACATCTCCCATCAGTCAGGTTTCTTCTCATGGTGTGGGTCTCTTCCAGCTGACACGATTTTGCTTTTGCAGGTGTGGGTTGCTGACCGAGGAAATAAAAGACTCCAAGTATTTGATAAAGACACCGGAGAGTGGTTAGGAGCATGGGACAACTGTTTCACAGAGGAGGGGCCTTCGGCTGTTAGGTAATCATTGCTGTTTATTTTAAGTGCTGTTTTAACTGGTTGTGGGACCTACTTCTGAAGAGCGGTTGAAAGTTTCTGGTGTTTGTTGGTAATTTTAAGGAGGGGAAATGGAAGGGAACAAGTGTCCAAAGAAGTGTCTGAGATCTTCTAATCCTTTGGGAGGTTTCCAGTCACGGAAAGAGGCTCAAAGCTTGAGTCCACACTCTTGGCCTCTGAACTTGTGACTCTCCGTTTGTTAGTTATGCTGTGCTTGTTTTAATGTAGGTATAGCTTCAGCTTCATCTCCTATCACAGACTTCTACACTATCTCGAACCCTCTGCAGGCATTGCAGAGGACACACACATCGAAAGAATGATCGTTATTCTTGAATTCTGCTTCTTCTTAGGTTCACCCCGGATGGGAAGTACTTGATCGTGGCCCAGTTGAACCTCAGTAGGCTGTCAGTTTTGGTGGCCCCACCATCTGGAAGCATCGGAGACTGTTCTGTGATCAGCACCATCCAGCTGGCAGATCAGGTTCTGCCACATCTTCTAGAAGTTGACAAGAAGACCGGAGCAGTCTATGTAGCAGAAATTGGGGCAAAACAAGTGCAAAAATACATCCCAGTGCACAGCCGTACCCCTGCCTTTGAGGCTTAGTGCTTCCTTCCCGGAGGGGCTTCAAGTGGCAGTGCAGTGCCTCAGAGTCATTGTGCTTAAAGTCATTGGAACACAGGGTCACTTTTACCTCTTCTACCAAACAAGTGTGTCAGGATGTCATTAAGAGTCCTGTTTTCTGGTGGTTCTTGGGCCTTAGTTTTACAACTAATCTTGTAAGAGTGGTTTGGTTTTTTTTTTGTTTTTTGTTTTTTGGGTTTTTTTCCCCCCTTTTTGATTGTCCTGGGTGTTGAACTCATGGCCTGATTCACGCTAGGCTGCTGCCATAGCATCTTCATGTAAGCAGCTTTTGAAGAAAGAAACCCAGTTCTAAAATGGGGTCATGAAGGAGAACTGTGATGGTAACTTCCATGTGTTGATTAACTCTCTGGGCCCCTGGGTAACCCTTTTGATTTCATCTGAAGAACTGGAAACCCCTGGTTTGTTGAACTTCTGTGAATTGGGCTGAGTGGTTGTGGATGGGTGGGCTGCCGAGTAATCAGGTGTGTGCAGAGTGCCATGCCGGGTTCAGAGCATCCTAGTGAGGAAGCAGCCTTGTCTGCTTGCGGTCCAGCAGAGAGACAAGTGGGCATGGTGACAGCAGGAGCAGGAGGACCGTGACAGACAGGACAAGCGTGCAGGGTAGATTCATGGAGAGTGCAGGCAGTGGCAGCTCGGGCTCATTGGCCAGGAGATGGATGAGAGGCAGCAGTCCACTCAAGTAGAGAAGGCCTAAGATGTACAGACTTCCCATGAATTCTGAGGAAAAAACAAAACAAAGGTTTGGTCTTTTTTTTTTTTTTTTTTTTTTTTGCTACAAAATGCTTAATGGCACCCTTTGCAAATAAGACTACAACAGCCAGCGTCTAAGCACTTTACTAAAATGAAGGTTTACCAATGGTATTTTAAGAGTTAATGCTAGCAGTAAGTTCCCCCACTCACTATTGTCCATTCCAGTTTTTAGAATGAAGACACTTTGCTACTAGCACCTATCTACCTCCAAGATATTTTAGGGGAGTTGGAACCATTCACAGGGAAGTGTGTCAAGCACTTGGAGGTCTTAGGATGATTTCCCTGCCTCTCCAGCCTGCACTTGGCCTATCAGAATGCTGGCCTTCAGATGCACATTCTGTGTTTTTCAGTTGGTTCTGGTTTATTCTAGACTTTGAGGGAACCCTTTCCTCTCAGGACCTTTCGATCGCCCATCCCCTTTGCTCCATCAGTGCCCCTCCCTGTCCTACTGTTACATGGTGACCTGTGCAGCACCGGGGACGCCTAAGCTGACTTTACTCCCCACCCACCACAGCTGGAGGGGCTTGGACCTGATGTGGTGCTTGGGACCCATGTAGTGTGGGAGGTACGTAAGCCTCCAGTAGGAATGTGCTATGTCCCAAGGCTCTTAAATGTGTCCCTGCCGCTCCCCAGACTGTGATTCTGAAGTCTTTTAGTACCAAGCGAACATTCTTTCCTCGCTCACCATCGCGGTGTGGACTAGATTTGCAGCAGGCACAGATGTCTGGAGCCTGGACTACATCGCAGGATGTTCTGAGAAGGCCTCCCACTGTCATCATAGCACATGCCAAGTGTGCCTGACTGATGAAGGCCTTCACAACCCGATTCTTCATAGGGTTTATGTGTTTGCTAATAAGCAGTTGGTGTGGATGGAAACAAGCAATGGGAAACTTGTTTTGTCGGTGAGCCAGAAAAGAAATGCAGGCTCCTCTTTGAGGGAGGGTAGGTTAGCTGAACTGCCTTTGTTATTACTGCAGTATTTTCCTTAGCCTGTTTTTAGAATAGATTGTTTGTATTGTTTTAGAGCAAGCTTTCAATCCAATCAAAGCGGTTGGTTACTCTCATAATGTGCCTGTGGGCACATCTGGACAGGACTTCCTAATGGAGTTCTCAGCTGCACAGCTGCTCATGATTGTTGAATACCCTTCTCCTTCAGTGCTGTAAACACAACCTCTAGGTCTGTGAATGCCAGCTATAGTGATGAAGCTTCCAGGCCAGTACTGGCTTGATGTCTTCTTTACAGATGCTTACAAAACTTGCTGAGGATATCATTCCTGATTGTCTTAAAAGATAGGCTTACAATCAAAGTATTTTACTCCCTGCTTTTGGACCAATTAGTTAAATAAGAATTGTATTTTCTATTGGAACATTAAAGTTTTGCAAAGAAAAAATTTATAGAACTTGGATACTTATTTTAAGATTGGATTTTGGTTTTTTGGTTTTGTTTTTTAAATAATAGAAGAATTGCAGTGACTGCAAGATCCCAGGTTGGAGAGTCTGGGCATGGTGGTATACATCTATAACTTGGCACACTGGAGGCTACAGCAAAATCTCAGGTTACAGACCCACCCAGCTATCAACTAATGTTAGCTGCATAAACCCAGGACTAACAGCATTGTGAAGCTAAGAGAATTCTTTTTCTCTGACCCGCAAAGCATATGCTGCTGAGGTGTTTCAGCTGGGCTGACCTGGGCTTAGGGATTGTGTGTGGGTGGGGATTTGAACTCAGGTCCTCACACTTGCCCAGCAAGTGCTCTAATCTACAGAGCCACTTCCTCAGTGTCACATAGTTGATACATTGCTAAATGTATATTTTCATTATTTTCAATTATGTTCATGTATGTATCTGTCTCTGTGTGGGTATGTGCACACTCATGCAGATGTTTATGGAGGCCAAAGGCATTTGATCCCTCTGGAGCTGGACTTACAGGCAGTTGTGAAACCAAACTCAATCCTCTTGTGAGAGCAGAAAGTGCTCTTCAGAGCCTTCTCAGCCCCAAGAATCTGTATTTTGTTGTAGATATGAAACTCAATGTTAACCAAAAAAAAGTTTGCATGAAACTCTCGATGCCTTTGCTTCCTAAGTTATTCTTGACAGAGGAGGAAGTGTTTTATACTAGAAAACCAAAGGCTGTGATTGTAGTAAGAATGAATGACTCCTTAAAATGGAGTGCTTGTCAATCAGAGAAAGCCTGGTTGCTGTCTGATAGCAAAACCACCATGCGGGCAGCGGTCATACAACTGCTGCATGTACCATCGCTGGAAGGCTGAGGTGACTGACAAAGAACTAACTTGTTTTGCTCCTTCGGTTTTTAGAGATTTTTTTTTTTGAGTTTGATTTTATGTCTAATGAAACTAGGGAATCTTTAAATTTCTATTTCGTAGGCTCACTAAATTAAATCAGAATTTATGCCGGGTGTGGTGGCGCACACCTTTAGTTGCAGCACTCGGGAGGCAGAGCCAGGCGGATCTCTGAGTTCAAGCCCAGCCTTGTCTATAGGGAAAGTTCCAGGACAGCTTCCAAAGCTACACAGCGGAACCCTGGTCTCGAAAAAACAAACAAACAAAAAAAATCAATCATCAATCAAATCAATTAGTATCATAGAAAAAAGCCCTGAACTTAGATGGGTGGATTGTTTTATTTTCAACTACATACTCCCAGCAATAATCAAAATTTTGAATTCAGAATTTATCAGCTTGATTCATTTTACAAAGCGAAGGTTTTCGGACTAATATACAGCCACTTTGTAGTGAGTGCTTCCTGGATTAGGGTGCAGTTGGCACCTGTGTTACAGCCTTTACCCAGAAGAGGGCAGTAGAGCTCTGTGTATGACAGGTATGGCTTGAAATGGCTGGGGAAATACAATGCCAATGCCAGGTTTCCTTGTGCTCTTTTTTTTTTTTTTTAAGTTGAAGCTACAGAATCGAACACACTTGTGGGTTCCCTTTGTTCTACAGCACATTTACATCCTAGGAAGCTGGTGGGCACCTGGTGGACTTCTTGAAACTGAACATTTTTATGGCTTAACTTGTTTTTCTACAATTAAAAGAAAAAAGGTTTTAATTCAGTAATTAAAATAAAATGGAAGTAGTGATAAAATAAAATAAAGTAGCAATTGAGACTAGCAGCTGGAAGTTGGATAGTGAGCTTAGTACATAGGGGATCCACAGGGTAAATATGCTCCCTTCTTGCTGATTGGGTCTTCGAAGGATATTACTTGTAATTGTTGGTTAGTTTACAAATGATAAAAGTGAATTATTTAAAAGGCAAAATTCATTTCTCTACCTGGCCCTTAGCCATCATATGAGCTTATGGCATAAATCATCCAGTTACCTCATAACATGGAGTTCTTTGTTCCACATGTAAGAGTTGAATGGAAGTTGAACAGTGTTTAGTTAGAGTTACTATTACTACAATGAAACACCACTACCAAAAGCAGCTTGGGAAGGAAAGGGTTTTTCGGCTTATGCTTCCATATTACTGTTGATCATTGAAGGAAGTCAGAACAGGAACTCAAAACAGGGCAGGAACGTGGAGGCAGGAGCTGATGTAGTGGGCACGGAGGGGTGTTGTTACAAGCTTGCTCCTCGGGGCTTGATCAGCCTGCTTTCTTACAGAACCCTGAACCAGCCCAGGGAGGGCCCCAGCACAATGGACTGGACCCTCCCCTATAAATCACTAAGAAAATGCCCTACATGCAAGTTTACCTACTGCACAATCTTATGGAGGCAATTTCTCAATTGAGGTTCCCGTTCCCACCTCTCAGATGACTATAGCTAATGTCAACATAAATGCTAGGGGGCAAAATTGACCCCTAGTCAACTTGACACAGAAATACATTGCTGTTAAGTCATAACCTTTCCTTTCTGGTCACCATACATTAATAAGTATCATGATATAAAACACGATATAGGGTCAGAATGTTTCTCTTCAAGTCCTCAGAGATCGTACCTAACCATCTGAGATGTTATGTGGATATCTACTATTCAAGAATGGCTGTCTTCCCGATAACACGCTTTTTGGAAAAGTACTTCTCACAGCCATCCTGTGTCACATGCTGGATGGAGGGAAGGGGGACAAGGAGAGGAACGGGGGGGGGGGGCGGGGAATGGAAGAGTCATGAAGCCAGCAGAGCTGTTGGACAATCCAGCAAAGCTGGGCCACGTGAAGACTGCCCTGCCACCTTCGGTTTTCTTTCTCTTTTTTTATTTTTATTTTTTCTTATTTTACATATCAATCCCAGGTCCCTCTCCCTTCCTCCTTCCCTCCCTCCCATATTCCCTTCCCATCCCATCACCCCTTCCACTCCACAGGGAGGGTAATGCCCTAAGAGGGGTCAACAAAATCTGTCAGTCATTTGTAGTAGGGTCTAGGGCTTCTCTCCTATCTCTAGAATAAGGCAGTTATCCCTCCATGGGGAATGTGCTTCCAAAGTCCTTTCGTGCACCAGGGATACATCCTGGCTCCACTGTCTGAGGTCCCTTAGACTGCTCAGTCCTTCTAGCTGAGACCCATGTTCAGGGGGTCTGAGTTGGTCCAATGCTGGTTTCCCAGCTATCAGTCTGGGGGTCCACAGCGGTCTCTGTGAATTTCTGTAGCCTGGTCTTGTCTCCATTTTCTTATCACTCCTCCTTCTCTGCATCTGGATTCCAGTTCGGCTCAGTGTTTAGCTGTGGGTGTCTGCTTCTGTTTCCATCAGCTACTGGATAAGGGCTCTATGATGGTGGATAAGTTAGTCATCAATCTCATTCTCAGGGAAGGGCATTTGTGGTAGCCTTTCCACTGTTGTTCGAAATGTTATTTGGGATCATCCTTGTAGGTCTCTGAACATTTCTCTAGAGTCACTTTTCTTTTCAAACCTATAATGGCTCCCTCTTTTATTCTCTCTCTCTCTCTCTCTCTCTCTCTCTCTCACACACACACACACACATCTATTCTTGACTCAATCTTCCTAGTCCTACATGTTTTCCTCTCCCCTTCTCTTACTTCAAGCTCCCTCTCCACTCACCCCCCCCCAATATGCTCAGGAGTTCTTGTTCCTTTCCCCTTCTGTGAGGGATCTTGTATGAATCTCTTAGGTTCCTCCTTGTATCCTAGTTTCTCTGGTGGTGTGAATTATAGGCTGGTGATCCTTTGTCTAAAATCCATATATGAGCGAGTATGTACCATGCTCCTCTTTTTGTGACTGGATTACCTCATTCAGGATGATTTCTTCAAGTTCCATCCATTTGCCTGAGAATTTCAAGATCCCCCCCCCCCACTGAGTAGTATTCCATTGTGTAGATGTGCCACATCTTTATCCATTCTTCAGTTGAGAGGAATTTAGGTTGCTTCCAGGTTCTTGGTATTACAAATAATGTTGCTATGAACATAGTTGAACAGATGTTCTTGTTACATGGATGTGGATCATTTGGGTATATGCCTAAGAAGAGGATTGCCAGGTCCTGTGGTAGACTGATTCCCATTTTCCTGAGGAACCACCATATTGACCTTCAAACTTGCTGTACAAGTTTGCACTCCTACTAGCAGTGGAGGAATATTCGAATGTTCCCTTTTCTCCACATCCTCTTCAGCATAAATTGTCATTGGTATTCCTAATTTTAGCCATTCTGACAGGAATAAGATGATATCTCAGAGTTGTTTTGATTTGCATTTCCCTGATAGCTAAGGATGTTATGCAAAGTGTCTTTCAGCCATTTTGATTTCCTCTATTGAGAGTTATCTCTTCAGTTCTGTACCCTACTTTTTAATAGGGTTATTTGGTGTTTTGTTGACTAGTTTCTTGAGTTCTTTGTATATTTTGGAGATCAGCCCTCTGTCAGATGCAGGGTTGGTGAAGATCTTTTCCCAGTCTGTGGGCTGCAGTTTTGTCTTGTTGACTGTGTCCTTTGCCTTACAGAACTTCTCAGTTTGAGGAGGTCCCATTTATTAAATGTTGATCTCAGTGTCTGTAGTACTGGTGTTATGTTCAGGAATCGGTCTCCTGTACCAATTTGTTCAAGGGTACCTCCTACTTTCTCTTCTAAGAGGTTCAGTGTGGCGGGATTAATGTTGAGGTCTTTGATCCATTTGGACTTGAGTTTTGTGCATGGGGATAGACATGGGCCTATCTGTAGTCTTCTACACAACATCTAGTTGTGCCAGCACCATTTTTTGGCAATGATTTCCTCCTTCCATTGTATAGTTTTAGCTGTTTTGTCAAAAATCAAGTGTTTATAGGTGTGTGTTAATATCAGGATTTTCAATTTGATTCCATTGGTCTACCTGTCTATTTTTATGCCAATACCAGGCTGTTTTCAGAACTATAGCTCTGTAGTAGAGCTCAAAGTCAGGGATGGTGATGCCTCCTGAAGTTCTTTTATTGTATAGGGTTGTTTTGGCTATCCTGGGTCTTTTGTTTTTCCATATAAAGTTGATTATTATCCTTTCAAGGTCAGTGAAGAATTGTGGTGGGATTTTAGT